GAAAGTAAAGAAGTCCACAAAGGAATATTTCAGATCGAGTGGGAACATAAGAAAATGGAGATGGAAATGGAAGATCTAAATCAGAAGGCTCGGGATATTCAGATGCTGTTTTTCTCAAGAGATCGTCAAAAGGTAAGTTCTCCCTGCCCCCCACTATATAATTTTAATTTCATTCATTAATGTATTCATTCATTCAACCAGTATTTAATAAGAAGCCTCTGTGATGTCAAGCATGTTCTATGCCAGAAGTAGTTCATAATGTGACTATGAATTCTGTCTGTTTCTTCTGGTAGTTTACATTTGCTGCCTCTGGTTCTTTGTGACCCATTCGGTAGTATAGTTCTGTTTTGCAGTTCACCAAGAATTTCCTAATTGTCAAATCTAGTGGTCCCTTTCCCAGTCATAACCATCCCTGTAGCATTTGTCCATCTTTTTTTTTTGGCCGCGTGGCATGTGGGATCTTAGTTCCCTGACCAGGGATCGAACCTGCAGTGGAAGCGCGGAGTGTTAACCACTGGACCGCCAGGGAAGTCCATCCATCTTCATTCTTAATTGCCCATTGTTCTGGCTTTAATCATCCCTGTTTTCTCCTGTATTTCTTCCAACATGTCAGACCACTCTGCCTCTTTTCCTCATTTCTCTTTTGTTTCTCTTAAGTATAGCTATTTTTAAGATTCTGCCCTCAGCTCTGTGTTTCTTTCCATGCCCTCTCCTTTGATGATTTCTCTTTTTCTGACTTTCATGATCACTGCTAAGACTCATCCAAGCTTTCTGGACTCCAATTAAATTCCAATTCCAATCTAAGCTCTCTGAACCTGACCTTTCTCAAGCTCTATTTCTGTATTTCCTACTTCCCAACAGCTCCTCTTCTTATTTTGCTTATTTCTGTTCTTTCAGCCATTCACTCAGGGTTAAAGTTGTTGTCCTCTTTGATTCCGCTCTTTCCCTTGTCTTCCAAGTCTTGACTAGTTTATCCATTTACTCCCTCATTCCCTATGCCCACTGCCTTTACCTTGCTTCAGTCCTTCCTTTTCAATGGTTTAGAGTATTTTATAATAATCTCCTAACTAGTCTCTTGACCTTGGGTTTTTCTCTTCTAATTATACTGTATACTGCTGTCACATTCCTATTCAGGTCTAATAACATTACTACTCCGCTCAAACATTTTAATGCTCCTCTTCTTACCTGGCACATGAATTCTGAAATCCTTAAGTGGCGTTTGGTGTCCTTCAAACTATCTTTTGAAATTCATTCCCACTGTTCCTCTTACACATCAGTATTCTCAAACCAAACTGATTTTATATTCCAGGATTCTACCTCTGTGCCTTTGCTTATACTGGTTCTTCTACCTGCAATATTTTTCCGCATTTTTTTTTCACATCCCTAATCTATCTATTTTTCAAGGTCTGGTTTAAATGCCACCTCATCCATAAAGCCTTTTGATTTCCCCAGTTCAGAGAAACCATGGCCCAACTCAAACCACCTTTTAATTTGCATGTCACCTTACATACATTCTGGCAACTAATCGTACTACACGTTCTCTTTTTCTTGAAGTCTCTGTCATGTTATCTATCTTTGTTATCTCCCTCAGTATCTTTAACTGGGATACTGTTAATATGGGACTTAATGAGACACTCTCAAATGAGACACAATAAATATTTGGTGAGTTGAATAAGTGAATGAATGAATGAGAAGATAAACTCTAGGCATTTGTAACTATTAGTATATAGATGAGTGTATCAATAGTCAAATATAAGTAAATAGCATGACACTAAAGTCAAGTCAATCCTAACTTGGATAGATAATTTTCATGAGAAACAGTAACTTTCAAAACTAAGATAATCTTTATAAAATTATCTACTGAAAGAAATAGAAAAAAATATCCTTACATACATTGTGGGGTTTTTTTTTCCTCTTAAAGTACTTAAATGAACCAAACTATGAGACTATGATTGCCATTCAGATTGGAATAATGGAGCAAACCATTGCTGTTTTAGATAAGGTAGGTCTCAAGGATACTGATCATTATAATTCCAGTAGTTGTGAATGATTTAAACAAAGTAATAGTTTGCAAATCATGAATTCAAATAGAACCTACCAAAATCTTGCTCTTTTATACTGATATTCAGGATGTAATTAGAGGTCTCTAAATAGTGTCTTTGCAATTGTAACCAATGTGGTAGCCTGAAGCACTTCTTTTTTTAAAAAATTTTTATTTTATATTGGAGTATAGTTGATGAACAGTGTTGTGTTAGTTTCAGGTGTACAGCAAAGTGATTCAGTTATACATATACATGTATCTATTCTTTTTCAAGTTCTTTTCCCATTTAGGTTATTGCAGAATATTGAGCAGAGTTCCCTGTGCTATACAGTAGGTCCTTGTTGCTTATCTATCTTAAATATAGCAGTGTGTATATGTCAACCCCAACCTCCCAATCTATCCCTCTCTCCCTTCCCCCAGTAACCATAAATTTGTTCTCTAAGTCTGGGAGTCTGTTTCTGTTTTGTAAATAAGTTCATTTGTATCATTTTTTTAAGATTCTGCCTATAAGCAACATCATATTTATCTTTCTCTGTCTGACTTACTTCACTTAGTATGATAATCTCCAGGTCCATCCATGTTGCTGCAAATGGCATTATTTCATTCTTTTTAATGGCTGAGCAATATTCCATTGTATGTATGTACCCCATCTTCTTCATCCATTCATCTGTCAGTCATTTAGGTTGTGAAGCACTTCTTTTAACATTTGAATTAACCCCTTGGGAGATATCAGAGTGTAGGTGAATTTCCTGTTTCACATTAGGTTACCTAAGATTTATGTAGTAGAAGTGTTGATAGTCTTTCCTTTGCATTGTAAAGGCTTTGTTTTACCCTAATTGCCTAACAATGCTCAGTTTTGAGTGTTTAACATATATAAGATGGAAACAAAGTAATCTCAAGGCTATGTGTTTTTTAAATCTTCTCTTATTTCTAAGAATATACAAATATTTTTCTAAAATGTGTATTAACATACCATTCTATCTATCAACAAATAATTTAAGTACCCACTATGTGCAGGTATTATGCTAGGTACTAGGGATATGATGGTAAGATGTCCTAATGATGACAATGTATTTAAATTTTAAGAATAATGTCTTTATAAAATATATTTTTTTCAAAATTATTTCTGTGGGGTGTCATGGGAACAAAAATTTCAGACCCACAAAAAGAATGTGGAAAACTGCAAAAAGCTGCTTAAAAAACTGAGAAGGTACAGCAATCAAAAAGATGTAGCAAATTATACCCTAAGCTGCAATTTACGAGAAGAACTGGTGGCTGTCTCAGAGAGAAAAGACATCTGTAATGCAGTGGGTAAGATTTTTTTCTTTAATCAACTGTCAGTTTCTTTAAAAGTGATCATAATTCCTAAAATCTGTACAGTGGTTATAAAGCTACCCGTATTTGTTCCATATGTTTAATTGATTCTGAGTGCTGTTTCTGTATTTAAAAGTATAGATAATAATCCAAATAATTCCTTCTTCTTCATTTCTGGGATAAGGGTCTACACTGACTTGTGAAAAGATTGCCAAAGAACGATATGAAAACATGATGCAACAGCAAAAGTTAACAAAAATTTCAAAAGAACAAGCTGAGCAGATTTCAATACTACAGGCTGAAGTTGAAAGATTAAGGATGAAAACATTTCCTGCTCTCGTTCAAATGTAAAAATGCTGGTGGGAAACATAAGACCAAATCAGTCGTTTTAAAAATAATTTCATTTGGTTAAAATGATTTCTGTCTCTCTTATATAAGGAAATTTAAGTAGAGTCTCCTCTTAGTGGCATATTTTTAATAGCAAATTGATTGATTTTAGCCTTAGTCATTATAAAAACGTCCTGCATGAATAAATGTCTAAAGTAACACGAATGATTTTTATTCAAGAATGAACACGATTTTAACTCAGAATATATTCAAGATCTATTTTATTGTCTTAATTTGATCAAAAATTATTTTCACAGTAGAAATACAGAAAGTCTTAAAGACAAAAAATTATTTTTAGCCACTACTGGTATTTCTAATTTTATAAAATTACCAGAAATGTTATGAGATTATGAATGATTTTTATCTTTTATACTTTTCTATATTTCCCATTTTCTTCAGTAAGCATTTCTCTATCATCAGAAAAAAAATTAATAGAATGTTTAAGATTATTCCCTGTCCTACCAATGGGAACAAGGTGAATTGTTTACTTTTACCAAGCCCTAAATCATTTGTAAATTACAACATATTTTCTTCTACATAGACGTTCTACATAAACATGACATAATCTTCTATATTCATATATATTGCAACAGAACTTAATTTTGTGCCCCACACGATAGTTTAGTAAACAGGAAAAAAGCATTTTCTCATTGTGATATTGTGATTTATAATAAGAAATATATATATTTGGTCTTCGACACCATTCCTGGCACAGAGATCCTAAAACCCTCGGAATTTCCTAAGTGATGAGAGAGGTACAGGTGTCTTGTTATGTTAATGAGGTGACTTTCTGGATTGCACCTAAGGATGGGGGCTGTTTTCGAGGAGAACCAACCCTGTGTCCCAACCTCCCATCCACCCACCCACCCTTTACGCACACCCACCCCCCACCCCCACCTCTAGGAAGGGTAAAGGGGCTGGAAGTTGAATTGATCACCAATGACCAATGATTTAATCAATTGTGCCTATGTAATGAGGTCTCCATAAAAGCCCAGAAGGACAAGGTTTGGAGAGTGTGCCCAGAGAGAGCAAGCAAGCTCTGAGCTTTTCACCATAACTTGCCTTAAGCATCTCTTCCATCCCGAGGTTCCTGAGTTACATCCTTTTATAATAAAATGGTAATCTGATAAATAAAATGTTTCTCTGAGTTCTGTGAGCCACTCTAGCAAATTAACTGAACCCAAGGAAGGAGGGAATCTTGGGAACCTCTGATTTATTGCCAGCCGGTCAGAAGCACAGGTAACAATCTGGGTTTTCAAATGGCATCTGAAGTGGAGGGCGGTCTTGTGGGTCTGAGCCCTTAACTTGTAGAATCTGATGCTGTCTCCAGATAGATGTGTCAGAATTTAGTTGAATTGTAGGACATCCAGATGGTGTTTTGAGAATTGCTTGGTGTGGAGAAACACAGACACACACAAAGGAATTTGGTGATCAGAATTCTTACATTTCCGTGAAATAGTTTATCACTTTATTCATGTAGATGATGATAAATAAGTAATGAGAAGATTAACTGTTCAGAAAACTGCTTTGCCTTTCCATAGCCTATGGACTGCTGCATTCCAAGGTAATACCATTGGGATCATTAACCACAATCTCCAAAGGGTGTCAATGTCTCAATGTTCTGCAATTTGTGAATTAAATGTTAAGTTTAATTAGTAACACCATACCCAATGTACACTGGTGTAGGTAAAGCAAGAGAGCAATTATAAAACATTCTATTTAGAAAAAAAAATTTAGAAGTTTTAAAACCTTCTATTTAGAAATTGCCAGGATAGTACCATAATTGATCACCTGTATAGTGATCAGTGGTGGGAATGGTAAGGAAAATAGAACCAACATCATTTTGACATCTCCCCCCCTTAGACCTAGAATGACTCCTGAAGTAGTCGATTTGGCTGATTAAGCAGGGTAGTGCCTATTGGTAACATTTCCATGTCACCTAAGTTAGCTACTGGAGCCTCCATTTGCTACTAAGGCAAGGCCACAAATTTCGCTGGACAGTGCTCTGTGGATTCCCAGGTCTTAACAGCCTGTTTCGTTTCTGTTTCTTAGTGTCTACCCTGAGTGATTCTGGCAATGCTCCTTGCTTGAATGCCTCAGCTTTGAGGCATAAATAGAGTGGAGGTTAGCAAGAGCCTCTTGCCCCCCCAAGCTGTATTCTAGTAGCAGCACTTTCAACAAGAGGCATCTTCTGCTTTGGGGTTATTGGCAGGTGCTTTGGAAGGGCACATGGGTCATGGAACCCAGTCCTCTCTCTTGATATGTTTATGGTACTGATTCCTCTCAGCTTCTGCTGAACTAAGAGCAATTATATTTGTATTTTTATAGCCCTTTAAAATATTATCTATATTATCAAGTAGTAATATATATAATTAATTGGGTCAAACATAACATGGTTATGAGCTCTGTTGCTGGGTCGCTTGGGTTCAAATTCTGACTGTCACTAAATAACTAGTTAATCTTAAAATTTCCTCATCTTTAAAATTGGGATGTTGATAATTGTAAAACTCAAATGAGTTAACATACTTTTAAAACTGGCACAAAGCAAGTGCTAAGTGTTAGCTTTCATTTTAATGAATAAAAATAATTCTTATTCAGTAGTTCTTAATAAATATATCCTATTAAATGGAGGTGAAATTCAATAGAAATTATTAAAAAGGGGACTGCTTCATGGGCACCCCTAGGCCCCAAACTCTCCCATAAGCCCCATCCATACTCCATGATCCACCTCCTCTTGTAGAAGTGCTCACTGAGCTGTTGGAGCCCTCAGCACCTAGCCAATGCCTTAGAAATCCCCATTGCTATAGCACCAACTGCTCCCCAACTCTCCCAAAACCAGAGTCCCATTGATGCTGTAGTTCCCCCAAATGGACGTGTAAGGGTGACTCCAGGGGATGTGCTAGTCAGTAATGGGCAGCTGCAGTCAAATGCTGGCACCATCACCAGGGAAACCACTTCTCCTGCCACATTTAGGACCTCTGGCTGAGCAGCAAGAAGCAATGGAGGCTGGTCAGCACAGCTTCCCAGGGATGCCCATCTGGGAATCCCAGAGCCAGGGAAGGCCAGTCCTCTTGGGTTCACAGAAGCCAATGACGATGGCGTGTCTAGAAAGCAAGAATTGAGGCCGGGGTGAGGGTTAGGTTACTGGCATGGGCATTAACAATTCGAATGCATGCAAGAGCAGGGTCTTGATATGCCAACATTAATAGTCTGTTGGATCACGGGGAAGGACTGGGCTGAGAGTAAGGAGCAGCTGGGGGCGGAGCGGGGAAGCTTAGGGTAGTGGCTGTTTACCAAGTAGTAGGGAAGTACTTTTCTTTTAAGATTGGGGGGAAAAAAAACACAACTAAGTAAAGCTGTCTCAGCCCTTAAAAGGACCCAAGAGACTGGAAACCAGAACCAAGAAGCCACTGACCCACAAAGTTCTCTCTCCGTCATCTCTGCCTTTCTCTGTAAGGGCAGACTTAAGCACACCAGCTTTTCTGCTTTCAAGTTCACATACAACAGCTCCAGCCACAAAAAGAGATGGGCTTTCTTTTCTTGAGCTCAATTCCGAATTCTCAAGGACTGGGATGCTTGGGTCCATCTATGGCCAGGATGACAGATAACGTACAACATGGCAGCCAGAACCCCATCCCAGTGAAGGTGGGTTTCTGACTGAGGAGTCACTGTTAATGGAGTAGATACGCTAGCTTTTACCTATTTCACAGATAAAACTAGAAAGGTAGATGAATGTAAAAGGCCCTGTATGCTGTGATGCCCTGAAGTGGGTGATGAGGACATGTGGTTTTATAAGAAATAGATGATCACTTCACTAACTGAGATGACGAATACAAGTAACAAATTTGAAGAGACAGAAACTAATGTAATTTTGAACATATGTGCTTACCTGCTAGACCATCCAGATGGAAATATGTGGTAAATGGGTGGAAACAAAGGAGAGGCATAAACTTAGGAGAGGCGTAAACTTAGGAGAGGCAGACATTTTCAGACAAGTTTCAGTTTAGACATTCACTAGATGGACTGTTTTTTAACATTTAAAATAAAACTTCTACCACAATAAATAGAACAATGTATTAAAACTCACTTCCACAGTTGTCCAAATTATTTTTTTAATCATGATTTAATTTAAAAAAATTTTTTTCACCTTTCTTTAACTGTCAAGTTTTCTTTGGCAAATTTATTCAAAACACTAAATTTTCATTTTAGAACCTGGTTTATACTTATATAACAAAGGCCCTAAATTGATCCAGGTTCACCAGGATACCTTTCTCTAAGCCCTAATGGTTTACATCTTCCCTTTAAAATGTATAAATATCTTTTAATTACATTGTCATCCACAAAGACATTCTGGAGAAAAAAATTATGAATTAAACACCTATAAATTCTTCTTCATTTCTGTTATAGTGTAGCAATTTATCATCTAACCCATAGTGGTCTATCAGCTGAGTAAGGCTTAGTTTCTTGTTCTCCTCAGACATAGCTGACTGCAGCTCATAAAGCAACAGCTGGCTACAGCTTCTCCACTTCTTTATTAACATCTGTAACTGAGACAGGTCATTCTGAAACAGAAAAAAAAAAAGACATAAATGTATGTCAATAACTAGATAGCCATCCTAACTTACTTAATGAAAGTTGTCAAATCAGTCGATGAGTAGTAGGTTTAAAGGGTAACACATTGGACATAAATGGGACTTCTACCCAGGAAAAAAGTAGGATGGTTTTAAGTAACTATCACTCAAATTGAGTTCTATGGCTGTTTTGTTTGGTAGAAGCTCTGGGCTATCCTTACCCTCAGGGAAAAATCGAATCATTAAATAGGGCAAAACTATGTAAAGAAGCAAAAATATGGGTTAAAAAAAAATCTACTTTTTCTACCACAGCTGTACTTTAAAAAATGATATTAATATTTTTCAATGTCACTATCTCATAAAACTCAAGTAGTTATATTTAGAGAAGTCCTAAAAATTCAAGAGAGCAAATAAGATACAGTATTCCATCATTTATGACACATTTGCTGGGGAAGAAGGAGCAATTGCAATATACATGAATGATCCAGGTAAGTAAGGGTCATCTTCTTCCAAGTGCCCAAATTCTATTTTCTTCAACCTTATCTGGGTTGAAATCTAAAATCTAATATACATTTGTTGTTTTCTTAAAGAAAATGTTCGGAATACTTTAATAATTTGTTACACACGATTGAGTAACAAAAGATCATTACTAAAATTACTTTTCATTGTACTCTGTGGTCCATTTTTCGCTTTTTTTCTCATTCACGTTCACTGTTGCTTCTGTTCTCATTGCCACTTGCAGCTAACATTTGAAGCTTCTAATACTGCTGTGGGCTGGAAACTAGATAGAAAGCTTCAACTGCATATGAAATAAGGGCTGGGACTTTTAAAAGTTACACCTGGTGTTTAGAGGCCTCTTCTGCTCTACTCTAAATCTATGACATATTTGAGTTAAAGCTGTTGGAAGCCAGGTTTCTGGATACTTGGCTTACTTCTTATTATGCTAAAATAAACTTTTCTTTTTGAAATACTTTCCTACCATTTATCTAAAAATAAAAAAATTAATTAGGCAATGGTTCTGAAATTCTTCTTACCTTTGATCTATACATTTTGACTAGTTTTAGCCTCCGAAGAAGTTCTTCTTTCTCCTGAATCTGCTTCACCAATTTTGCTTTTTCTTTGTTTAATCCATGTTTGGGAAGATTCTCACTCATGAAGTCATTCCGGAGGTCACTGCATGACTCAGAATCAAGTGATTTAGATGCACATGCATTGATATTCTTGAAGGTATTTTTCAAATATGTACTTTCTTCAAATTCACCGTCTATGTGTTTAAAATTTTCTTGAAATTCCAAACAGTTTTCTTCTGTTGAAGGTGCTGGTTTCTCTGAAAAGGTCTGATCATTTTCTTCACTCTCTACTTTAAGTCGTTTTACCACACCATAACAAGAATTAAATGAAGATCTAGTTTTCCTTAATCGTTCCCTAAGGGTTGCACTCATAGGCTGAAAAAGGCATCAAACGTTAATAATGTTAATCAAGACTTGATATAAATAAATATACTAGAAATCAAGACCGTACGTTTCTATGGCAGGCACCACTAGATGACTTTCTGTCTCCATATATCTAAAGTAACCATCACAAAATATCTTTAATTCCTGTAAGCTCCACTAAGTTTTAACCCCTTTTTATATTAGCAGAGCCAGCACCCTTCTAAAACAGTGCTGAAACACTTATCTCAGTAATCACAAACATTTGTTCAGCAATTGTCCCAAGCCTGACATGGTTAGGTGCTTCAGAGTTACAAATTAAGGAAACGACCTAGATCTTTCCCCCAAAGACCTTCATGATGTCAGATTCAAACTTCCTGTTTGGAATGCTGTAAAAACTTGAACTGAAACTAAATGAAAATAATTGGGTCAAGATGAAAATTAGAGGGGAAGGTCCAATACATTATCTAAGGGGAAAGACCTAAAATTATGTTAATAAAATTTTTACTTACTAATTTACACATTACGTTAACTGACAATGTTCAGTAGACTTGAAACCACCATTGCCACAATACTTAGAAATATAGACTAGATCCACTGAAAGAACTAAGATTTTCATACTTGTTTTCTTGAACTGCTTGTACGAGGAGACGGTGGATTGGCACCAGCCTGTGGAGTGCTAGGTAACACCACAGCTGAGTCTGATGGACTTTCCATCTTGAAATCTTGCTTTACTTCTAAAAAACAAAAAATAATCACAAAACGGAAATCAAATTAACCCACACCTCTATATATTCCTTAATTTTTATCAAAGAATTTTTTATTGTTTTACATAACATCACCAAGTAAGCCAGCCAACTTCCTTCTTTCACTTAGTTGTGATTCATTCTTGCTTTTTGTTTTGTTTTGTTTTCCACTTACTTTCCTAAATCGGATTGTGTTGCTCATTATGGTGACTACTAGTTTTTTTATGACAAGTTAACTAGCTAGCATCTCATATGAACAACTCCACATTTGTTTTTATTGATGGATAAAATCTGACAAAAATCCTCAAAATCTGCCATATTCGGGGGGGGTGAGTTGGATAACAACTTTGGATAGTCAGGAATTCTTTAATTTCATTACGCCAGCTTCACAATGAAAGGAAATGTAACTGAAATCTTGACTCAAAAAACCATAATCAGACCTGTCACGCTACCCTAAATCCTAAAGGCTCTGTGCCTAAAACAAATGACCCTCCAGGCCTGAGGAATAAGGAGCCCAAGCACAGATAAACTTACTCCTGTCTGCATCGTTTTCGATTAAGCAGCTAAGAGACCCTGAAAAGGAGAGACTGAAGTTTGCTTCTCAAACAAAGGCCATCAAACTTTACCGGGAAAAATACCACAGGGAGTCCTCCCTCCCCTCCCGCCACTACAGCAAGCCCTCGAGAGACCCCAGGCCTGAGGTGGAGCTGAGAGGTTCCCTGACCAGGGAAAGGGAGCGCTACTCGACTCCCCACCCAATCCCCGAAGAAGTCCAGTTCTCAGACGCCCACTCCAAGCCCAGCACGTTACCTCCCTCCGCCATCCCCGGAGAGCGTAGAGAACTAACCCAGCTGCTGCCGGCAGCCGAGAGTCTGAGAGGCGGGGCCGCGCGGGAGGCGGAAGAGACCCGCGATTGGCCAGATTGACTGACGCGCGCAGCTCCACTCAGCCCCGCGTCAGGAGCGGCGGGACTGCGCGCGCGCGGCCGCGAGCCTCCGCAAGGGAGCGGGGCGAGGCCGCGCGGGAGGGGCCGAAAAGCGTGATTGGCCAGGTTGACCGAGGCGCGTGGCTCTGCTACGCCCAGCGCCCGAGAGCTGTGGAACTCGCGCGCGGCCGCAATCCTTAGCAGCAGTCGGGCGCTCTCCGTAATGCGCTTGAAACGAGTAACCGATTCCGGGAGGGGCGCGCTTTTATTCACGGCTTCCCCTCCCTCCTCTCTCCTTGCTTCGTCTTCCCTTCCTGCTTCCTAGATTTTGTGTGTTTGTGAAGGACGCCTGGGAATGCCCCTCCCGTTCTCCTGGCTCCCGTCAGTCCCTTCTCCGCGCTCCCCCCAGCAAAGGCCTTTCCTCAGACTCCCCGGGACCCAGAGCCGCGCGGCGGGCTGTGTGTTAAATTTACAGCTTGTGAACTCCAAAGGCAGAGACCACGAAAGAGCAGCGCGGGGTTCAATGGCCTGTTGACAGTCAAACACGTTAGCAGTCTCTCTGAGAGCCCCGGCGGATGCAGTTGAGCTCTTTTGTAGCCTTCGTTGCCGCAAACTCTGCGGTCCCGCCACGGGTTTTCTGCCGGATCTACCTCAAAAGTTAGATTTCTTAGCTTGGCTTCGAATCTTGTCGTCAAATCTGAGAGAAAATGTAGCCCAAGGAAATCTGTTATGGTGCAACACAGGAAGCAGAACAATCACTTAATAAGATTGGGTTGGTCCAGAATTGGGGTGATTGAGGCAGATAGGGCCCTGGCTGAATACTGGGCAGCGGCATCCTCAGTCTAAAATAATCCTCCTCGTTTCCTGTGTGGTGATGTTCCGTTGCTGTGCAACAACAAAGATAACTAAGTTGGAGCCCTGGGTTTAGGAAAAGACAGTTGAGTAATTTCTGAGTCGCGTGGAAGTTGGGAATTTTAACGGGCCAGTGTTGCGAATCCCGGTGAATGGCCATTTTAAACGTTGACCCTGTCTTTTTACTAACATCTGATAGTAATGGCTTAGAGGTAGCTAGGATCCAGAAGGAATTCACTGAGTGCTAAACAGTGGGATGTAAATATAGAACCTGAAGACAACCTAATACAGTGATTAAGGACATAAATGTTGGAGTCAAATTGCCTAGGTTCAAATCCCAGCACCATCATTTTGTGTGCTTTGTAAGGTAGGGTCGCTGTGCCTCGGTTTCCTCATCAATAAAGTGGGGATAATATTATCAACCTCCTAGGGTTTGGAGAATTAAATGAGCATTCATGACAGGCAGTGAAAAGCAGCAGTAGGTATCTAAGAAGCACTCGATAGTTATGCTAGAGATGCAACTATATTCACCATTCCCTAATTGATCTAAAGGAATGCATCATACAGTTCTTTCACCCCTTCACTTACCTCCCCAAAAAAGGCCACAGATTTTTTTAAAAGATGCTGTGATGTGTAGGACACCTCACCATGTAAGCCATAAATAGCAGAAGACTTGGAGCTTCCACATATAATTGATAATATATTCTGATCCTTCTAAATTTTTCAAAAAGTATGTAAATTAATCTCAAGGAATTTACAAAATGAGAGAACTCATGATTTTGTGATACAGGTGTTATTCACCTCAGCAAGCCACAGGTCCCAGCCTGTACATTTATTTCTCCCTTTACTCATCCATTGGCATCAGTTACACTGAAAAAAAGCGGAGTGATTTGTCCTGAAGCATAATGCACACTCTGCATTGCATATTCTTTACACTTTGGGTTGGGTTGTTTTTATGATTCCCTAAAATAAGCTGCTCCAAAAGCCTTTTATCATTATAACCTAAGCTTAGAGCTGTGTTTTTGCTGGCTCCATAAAGGAAAACAACATCTTGCCTAGCAAAAGTTCTGACTTGCTTATTATGTGAACTGGTATATTATAAGGGATTGTTTTAGCCAGATTTTCAGAGAACTTCAGAACATGTACTCAGAAGAACTTGTATTTCATAAATGTGCATTTGTTGACCTACATCTCAGACTTTCACGTGTTAGAATCGAATGATTTTCCCAAATACAAGTTTGCATTTTACTTACTCCCATTATGTACCAAAATGGAAACATACCTTTCACTCTCAATTTAGTGTAAAGGATCTGGAATATAGCCCCTATAGTTTTCATTGTACCTTTAGATAAAGCCCAGCAACCATTTCCATGTCTTTAGGAACTTGAAATCTACTGGCCTATTAGGAGTTTGTTGTTTCTGACACATGACATTGTATGTTTCATCCGAAACTTTTTTTAAATCTTTTTTTTTAAATTTGTTTATTTTATTTTTGGCTGCGTTGGGTCTTCGTTGCTGCGCGCAGGCTTTCTCTAGTTGCGGCGAGCAGGGGCTACTCTTCGTTGCGGTGCACGGGCTTCTCATTGAGGTGCTTCTCTTGTTGCGGAGCACGTGCTCTAGGCGCGCGAGCTTCAGTATTGTGGCACGTGGGCTCTAGAGCGCAGGCTCAGTAGTTGTGGCGCACGGGCTTTGTTGCTCCACGGCATGTGGGATCTTCCTGGACCAGGGCTCGAACCCGTGTCCCCTGCACTGGCAGGCAGATTCAAAACGATTGTGCCACCAGGTAAGCCCCCATATGAAACTTTTCAGGCAGGGAAAAGTACTGCCCCAGAGAACCAGAAGGCAAGGACTCTTTACTCCACCATAGAGAATAATTTGGGCAATAGAATTCAATGATAATAGTAATTAATACTAACCTAAGGCAGGCTTTCTCTGTTTTTAACTTTCTTCAGTACCCAGGGCTACTATTCACCACTTTGTTATTCATCAGGGTGTGGTAAAATGCTCTTCCGTTCATTCTTGTCTGTGATTATTGTTGGTGGGGTAATGACGTAAACCTAAAAACCTTTATGAGGGTTTTTTCTTTTTTAATAGCAAGAAGAGAATAGTGAATAGTGTCTCTCTCCCTATCTCTCTCTCTCTGCCCCTCTCTCCATACAACCAAGCATACACACAGGCACACACTTTCAAGCCACAATTTAAAATTTTATGGCAGTAATTTTTGTAAAAATTCTTAGCTTTAGCATTACTTTAAAAATCTTAACAGTAATCTCAGGATGACCTAAACTCCATTCCATTGACTTTTCTGTATTGATAGGTAGTATCCGTAGCTATTTTTAAAGCAATTTAAAATATACATACACACTTTTAAAACTGGAATTAAAATCCACTTGGGTGAAGAAGAGCTATATAAAATCCACATGATTAAGTTGATTATAAAGTCCATCAGGACAAGTTAAACTAAATTTATAACACTCACAAGAAAGTCTACTACATTCTCTCAACTGGCTTTCAATATTTCTAATGACACTGATATGTAAGTTGAAAATCACCTTCAAAAACTCTTCTCTAGGTTTCTCTTGCCATGAATTCAAATCTCATCCTATAGACCTATCCATGGTGAAGAAGATGTAGTTTTAGTGCTCTGTCATCTCATAAGTTTCCCTTTGAATAACTGACAAACTCATTCTGTTTTTTTCTCTATTACCTAAATATTTCATATGGAATTCTACAGTGTAATTGGTTCACTTGTAAAGACTGTGGAAGACTTTGTTATCAAAAAGTGACCTTTGAGGGTAAACTGTTTAATATTTTTAGTCAAGCTAAACAAGAAAGGATTTTATTTTCAACTTCAAGGTGAAAGAGCCCTTGACTTAGCTATTAGGCATACCTGTGAGGTTGCCTCACTGAGCAGGATGGCTACTTCGAGCCTGGAGATAAGGGGAGGGTCAATGATAAAAACCTGTTCACCACCAGGTAACCAGAAAGTTGATCTGGGAACTAATATTGAGGGTAATATACTGAACAAGAACCTAAAGAACTCCTTTCACCTGAGTTCCTATCCTTTTATTCTATTAGATCTGGCATTTCATCAAGTCCATTAGAGACTAGAGAAGTAAGAGTATCTATGATTCACTGCTATTAGTGGGGTGTGTTCTCTTGGAGGAGAATAGAGTGATTCAGGTCAGATTAATAACGCAGTGAGGAAGGCGGTAGGATGTGGGTGAGTGGGAGGGTCATGGCAGAAGAGTTAGATGGTGGGAAAGTAATGGTAATAAAAGTATTGCTCAAGGCCACATCTATCTCAGATCCTTTATTAACTCAGAAATGTCATTTGGAGAAAAAAGGCAATAGATGTCAGCAAATCCTTAAGCAACAGAACATGTCTTATAATCATCTTTAACCACCTGAAGTTTGAGAGGTAACAGCTCCCAAGATAATTTCACAGTGTTGAAACCTTTTTGAAGTGCCAGCAAGAAGTCAATTCAGTGCTCTAGCCTCACCTCTCATTACTGTTTTGGTCTTGAGAATATAAAAGGTTTCTTTTTGGTGATGCTTTTTTAAAATGGGGGAGTAAGAGTGTCTATTAGTACCAATAAAATAAGGAGTTAAGATACCATTCTACCATGTTCTAGGACACTACTGACCTTTTGGCTTCTGCTCTGCCACACCTTGGCAAAGTTTGTTGATAAGAACAGTAGTAGAGTGGATCTGTGCTTTAGCCTATAACCAGGAATTTTCTGGCCCAGTTCAGGATCTAAGAGCTAGACTGAAACTTAATCCCTTCCCACCACTCCCAAAGGCAACATAAAATGTTTTCATCAGGGACCTTTATGAGCAGTACCAAACCCACTGAATGCTAGAACCCCTGACCAAGAGGTCTGACCCCCCGGGGAGGATCCCTTGCAGAGGCATGGTCAGAGGTGGG